GTCTCAGCCGCGGCACGTAGTGCGTTTAGATCGTATGACTTCGTCCACAGGTTGAGGAACTTCTTGCGCAGTCCGACGTCGTCCTTGAGTCTAAGTGTCTGAGCGAGGAGGTCCTTCGGTATGCTGAGTGCGCCGAACTGAAGCGAAGCCTGTAGTCGCTTGTGGAGTGATGGCATTGCGGGATCGTGGTAAATGGCAAGCATCTTCTTGCGCATCTCCTCCGGACTCTGTTCCGCGCTCGGGTCCCTGGCCGCCGAGTCAAACACGGAGTTGAGAAGCTGGGTGATGGCGACTTCCTGGTAGGTGAGCCAGTTGTCCTCGTACAATTCCGGCTGAGCCAGATCCTCTTGCAGTACTGGGTACTTCTCTCTTGATTGCGGTCGCTGGCCCACTTCGTGCAGCATGGTAATACTGCTCGCGACACTTCCAGTCTTCTGACGACGCAGAGCTGTGGGTGGAGACTTGTCGGTGTGGAAGGGCGAGGAAGATAATGGTGCGCGCTTCGCCTTCGCCAATTTCGCTCGTTCGGTCTTGATCGTCGTCCTCAAAGATGCCCTGCTTGTTGCGGCAGAGGCGGTGCCATCTGCTCTTGCCTTGAGCGCCTTTGCTGGTGCATCGTCTTGAGCCACGTGCGACCGTGGTCGTTTCTGGGAACCCTCGGGCCTCTTCTTGGTATGTAGTATCCGTTCGGGCTCTTTCGGGGCGTTGAAATGTACTTTGGGTGCTTTTGCGTCGGGCTTCTTTGCATCGGCCTTGGTGAAGTTGATCTCGATGTGTACTCCGTTCTTCTTCTTCTCGACAGCCTCCATTCCCGGTGGAAGGTTCTCTTTTCCTCCTCCTGAGCCCACGACGTCACTCGAGAAGGACGAACCCTGTGACGAGCGCGATGCGGTACTCAGAGGACCTCGCTTCGGTGGTGCAGCCAGAGACTTGCGCGGTAGCTTCTTCTCCCTCTTCAACGCTGGCATGAGGTTGTTTCCCTCCTCCTCGGAAAGTGTGACCAGATCCAGTCCGATGTCTGGTGACGGCTCCCGGACGTTGCGCGACGCGTGTGTAGGCTGTCCCGGGTGGATAGTGAAGACTGACGTGTCATCAGACGGTATGTAGATGGTTCTCCGTCGCAGGTCTTTCTTAGGGGCCTGCTTCTTGAGCTCCTTCCTCTCCAGAACGTCCTCTTGTAGCCGTACAGTCGCATTGACATCCGTCGCATGCCTGTCGCTAGGTGCGTGCGAGACACGTCTCCGATGCGGCTTCTCCGGTTGTGGTTCCTGGGCAGGCGCGACTGCCTTGGGTATCCTCTGCGCGGGGTGCGCAAGTATGGTGCTCTTCTTTGTCCTCGCAGCTGCGGGAACAACGCTGGCGCGGCTCCTCCTCTTGACCGCAAACTCGGCTTGTTGCTGCTCTTCCTCCTGCGCGACATCCTCGAAGATGTCGAGCGAGGGGTTGAAGGCAGGCTTGTGTGTGGCACGCATCGGTCGTCGCGGCTTGGCCTGGCGGGGCTTCAGTTCGGTTGTGTATTCGAGGTTTGCCGTCGTGTTGTTGTCGTCGAAGTAGGAAGGCGCGTAGTGGCTGCCGTAGCCGCTGTAATAGCTGCCCGTGGAGGAATAGGGCGCCGGGCAGGGAGTGCCTGCCGTGTATCCGTACATGGTGGCGGGTAGTTGAGTCGGTCTGCTGGCAATGTGTTGTCGCGCCGGCGCATATAAGTTGTGAGGGATCCTCGTCCAAGAGCGTTCAGGATCAGTTGCGTGGGCGCACGCTTAGCCCGTTGTGGCGCGGCAAGCGGGTCCCGTTTATCAACACTATCAACAGTGTCGACCGGGCAACAGCAGCCCTGCCAAACATCCGAACGACTATCACCAGCTTGACGTCACTAGGCATGACGCGCTACCATAGCATACCATACAATGCAGTGCATCTAAGGAATGCCCCGACCCGCTCTGATGGCTTTGGCCGCTTCCGACTGTGCTCTGTCCTCTGCATACCGCTGATAGATCGGCAAGTAATGCTCCCTCTCGCTGAGCGTTTCTTTGACGCTCTTCCTGCCCTCCACAGCAGACAGCCACTTCCTGAAGCGCTTCCAGACCTCTTCATCCTCCCCGCCTTTTCCTTTATCCGGAATGCCCGACCCACCCTTGAAGTGGTCGAATACCCACAGCCTAATTCCCCATGGGGCCAGGACAACGTCAATAAGTCCAAAGTCCTTGCCTGAGAAGTACGGCCCTTCAGCATCCATCTCACGTGTGAATTCCTTGAGATGGTTCAAGAATTCCTTCTGCTTCTCCTCCAAGCCACCGCCCTGATGTTGCAGAAAACGGTGGTAGGCAGGGATGATGCGACTGCCTACATAGTCGGTCCAGATCCTCGTTCTAGCTCTCTGATAGGGATCCGTCGGCATCAGGTGCGGTGTGTGCTGAGGGAATGCCTCTTCCAGGAACTCGCAGAGAACAGTACTCTCATAAAGTGGCTTGTTCTGGTATTGCAGCGTTGGGACTAGACCACGGGGGTTGAGATCCAACAGAGACTGTGGCTTGTGGTACGGGTTGACCTCAATATACTGGTACTGTATACCCTTCTCCTCCAGCGCTATCCATACGCGCTGCACAAAGGGACAGAACCATCCCGAGTACAGTTTCAGGGGGCACTCGGCTGAGTGAGCCTTCGAATATTAGCAACGAAGAAGATACTGTAGGTGTGCGTTTGCTTACTTTGACTGTCGCTGCTGCAAGTCCTGTCGCTTCAGGATGAAGGTCTGCGTCAGGATGATCTTTGCCCATGGTAGTAGTGATGGTAGTTATCAGAGGTGTAAAAGTATAATGTAGCTGTTGACAGAATGTGTGCTCTTACGCATATGGCGATCCCTCAAAAGCTATATAGCAGCGATCGCCATCTTTGCGGACTTCGACGCCATATACATGGATTGATCACATCATCATCAAACGTCGTGGCTATGACGAAAGTGGGGTAGCCTCCAATCGCAGCTATCCACCCACGCAGGTGAAATAATTCGCCGCATACCTAAAACTTCTCCCTCTTGTAAGCTCTATAACATACTACAAAGTAGATATTATTAAATTCTAAAATAGTAGAATTATAGAGGAGCTTCTTTTCTATAATTCTACTACTCTAAAATTTTATTCTCTTTTGTTGTTGTTATGTTGTATAGCTTTTAAAAAGAAGACTTTTGTTGTTCCTCTTTGTTTTAGGTGGATTAGTGTGCGGCGAATTCCTTCACACGCGTGCCACCTTCGGAAGCTCGTTGACACATTCCGTCAAGCGCACATGCATGTATGGACGGTGATTACTTCCAGGCTTTTCAATGTTTGTTCAGCTTTGCACATCACGCCTTTTACACATACATTTTCGAAGTACATTGCATCGCGCATGTGTCATTGAATATGGTTATTATTGTAAATCTGCAAGCCTTCATAGCTTCGATGGAGATCTACCAAGATCTCAACATATTCCCATTACATTAACAGTGCTTATGTGCACTTACATCGACCTGGCCTTCTCCAAATCCGCCTCCTTGAGTTCCCTCAGCTTGCCGGTGTTGGCAACGCCACCTGTGACGTTCGCGCTGATGATCTCCTTTGCGTAACCCAAGAGGCCGACATCTGTGACGTAGTACGAGACGTACTTGCTCTTGATCTCAATCAGAGTCATGCGGGGGTCTTCGGGGCCACCAGTGTGCTTGCCATCACCGAGATCACCGAACCATGCTGCAGCGCCACGGCTCCATACCTCCTTGATGCGGGGGTCGCTGTTGTCTGTTGTTGTGGCAGTTCCTGTGATGGAGGCCCACTCTTGTGTCTTCAGGTCCTGGAACGAGATCTGGACTTCTTTGTTTTGGTTCAAGTCGTTGAACTTTTGCGAATGGTTGTTGGCGAGGAAGAGGAAGTCGGGACCGTCGCGGCGGGCGAGGGCCATGGAGCGACCGACGGGGCCTGACAATGGTTAGTCTAGAGCTACGTGGGATGGAACTGAGGGGATGGAGCTTGAAAGTGGAGGAATGTAAGGGTAAACATACCAACACCATTGCGGTATGTGTTGAGCATGCAAATCTTCTTGCCGTCTACCATCTCAAAGAACTGCTTGATCTGCTGGCCCTTGGGGGTCTCATCGTCGTACTGCTTCGCGACAGAGGGGTCGGTCTTGGAGTTGACCTCGCTAGCCTTGAGTTGGTCCGGCATTCTGGAGATGTGTGTAGTGGAGAAGTATCGTTGAGTAGTTGTTTTAATGGGTATTGAAATGCGAGTTGCAAGTTGAATTCTGGGTAGAGCTGTTCGTGCGGAGCGTACAAGTAGTCGCGGACCAGCAGACATCTTGGTATAGGCTGCTCGTGATATGTACGTGGACGTAACGGTGAGATCAGAGGGTCAAGTAACAGCGGATATTCCACGCCGACGCGAGCCCATGTGGCTGGTCGAGGGGCGCCTCATAAGCAGCATGACGTCGTGATGGAGCGCGTTCGGTGGGCTGGTGGCACACTGGGTGGAGGTGGAGGCATTCTAGACATATGCATGACGATGTTGTTAATTCGCGTTAGGTGCGCGGCACGCTAAGACGCGCCCGATCGATCTCTCCCGATAGCTGCCTTCGGGGCCGGTGTGCACAGAGTCCGAGAGGCACTCGCATACACGCATTCCATGTGAGAAGATGCCGTCTTGCCGATGGTGTTTGTTCCGTGCCAGGTACGAAAGGGTGGGTGGGTCTCAGCATCGGTAGCGGTCCTGTTCCGTACTGCAGCCACTACGCATGTCCGGAACAAAGGCACTCTATACAAGAAAAAGAATGAACAAATCTAGAGCCTACATCGACGTTAGACTACTTACTTTGCACGTTTTCATGTTGATGTAGGCTGCAGGCCTGTTTAGTTTTTTTCATAGGTTGACGTGAAGGCTCACACATCGAAGATGTCGCTTCATCTTGATGAGTAGGATATGTAAAGTACATTCATTCATCTAAACATCTAGTCGTAGAAAGAGGATCTGGCTAACACATCAGACCGCCCTCCCGAAGTGGTCGCTCGCGACATCACTGCGGTCCCAACGCTCATCGTCGAGTCTTCTCTCTGTATTCAGTTCAACGGTCTTCGGTGCGGTCATTTCGATCCTTCCCTCGTCAATCCCACCAGTACTACTGCTCGCATTATCGTCGCTCAATCGGTGAAACTTGCCAAACTCGGAGACGTTCCCGAGCTCGAAGACTTCAGGCTGCGTGTGGGTCGATGTGAATGTTCTTTTGACATGACTTCTGGTCACACCGACAGTAGACTTTGTATGTGTAACAAAGCCCTGAAGATGGAGGGCCTTGGCAAACATCCGAAGAAGAGGTTTGAACGAGAGGGCACAAGCGCTGAGGAGATACATGCCGGGCTCTATCATTGTCCAGTTTATGAGCGCAACATGATTCCATGTTACATCTGTAAGAGGTCCGGCTTCCGCGAGGGTTTGGGCGAACACGACGGTGCGAATTATGGATGCGACGATACCACTATATATCGGTCAGCTACGAATAAGGCCTGAGAAGTACAACTGGCAACTTACACGCTTCCGGTCAGGAAAATGAGTAACAGCCCAATTCTTCTTCCAACACTGATCTTCAGACACCACACTGTTCTTAGAGGTAGTATCAAGACGGCCAAATCGGTTGCGATGTTAGGTACGCTAGAGCTGTTCGCGAAGACTTGAACGTTGAAGCATCTTCCATTCGGAATGTTCTTGTCCCAATTGAACCTGAAAGGCATGCACTGGAACCCGACAGCTACTGTGAAAGAGATCCACGTAGAAAGAATGAGAACGACTAGCGTCTTAGCAGCCAGGCGCTCGTACTTGTTGGTAAGGATATGCAAATAGAGCAGTACAACGGTGAGTTTTGGGAATGCGACAGCTGCTGGATGCAGGACCTCTTGTATCATGATGCCTTTGAAGTGCTCGGATATCTTTGCCGGATCTGTAGAAGCAATGTAGGCCATATGTCGTCCAGTGCTGGCTTTTTCGACCATGACTGATTGATATGTTAGCTGGCGCAAGCAGTCTTCAAGGCGTTGCATGCTTACCGATACCAACAATGCAAAGGCCCACCTCAGCTAGCCATGCGAAAGGAACGAGAACATCTTCGATGTTCAACGCGGTACTCGTGAGATAGCGTGAGTAGTAACGTAAGGCAACAAAAGATGTGCAGAAAAAGATCAGCAGGCAGGCTGTCGCTTTGATAGTTGGGCCTCGATCTTCGGCCAGAAACTCTGGCGAGATATATTGCGATAGACTCATAACAAAACTAGAGAGCCGTCAGCTGCCAAAATGACTACCAGAGTCACGTATTCGGCAATCTGAAAGTAGAAAGAACGGCCACGAGCCGACCGAGCGGATATCTTGTGGGTGGGGCAAGCATCAAATACTATCGCCGCAAGTCATCTTTGCGGCGCGGTATGTGTTCATGGAATCTGGCTGGCCAGTGTATCAGAGATGCAGAAGCACCTAGCGTGTCTGTGCTAACCTCGAGGCATGTACCTTGGTCGAGGAGATCTGAACCATTGAGGTAGCTCTGGGGAACGCGCCAAAATGGATAACGGGGATATCAGACGTGTTTGGGAAGACCACATAGGCTGATGCATTGTGACAGGTCGCATGTTGGTACCTGCAATCCCAAGTTGGCAGATGGGTTTTCTTCCGAGATTCTGGGGTATATGTAAATAAGCTTATGTGCCTGTCGTTGGTATGACGTTGGACGAACGCATAGCTTTGCGCTCACTAACTCGATAGAACCGATTACGACAAGGCAGAATTGTTCTTGATTCGTCGTCAGCAGTCCTGATAACCTTTTGTTGTTGGTGTCGGATGGGCCACCACTTCGTAGTAGCCGGTTGACCTTTCGAAGCATTGAGGGGATATCCGAGGCATGTGTATGAGTGGAGGATACATTGGCCGTTGCCATGGATGAAACGCGCATATTCGCCCTGAATGCAGGCTGCAAGCGAGATCTAGTTTTCAACTCTGCCGCAGGGGATGTTCGTGTCGGGTCAACACAATACAGACCTGAAGAGGCTTGGGAGATCTGAAACGCAGTTTCCTGCGGCTTTTCCACGCGCATGAACGGGTACATGAGGGTACCTTGCAGCCATCGGATCGCGAATATGGGCGACAAAGATCGCATGCGCTCTGAAATGAAGTGCTTAATCATGTATCCGGCCTTGATCTTCGTCGCGAGAAAGTTCGCAATCTCGTACAGAACGCACCAGCCGGATCTAAGGGCGTAGGGCGCTGGTGTCAGTTGACGCGACACCAACACATTGTTGCACAGTACCTGCTTGTGGAAAGTCCCAAGAGGTTGCAAGAGGTTGGTGGTATGTTCAGAGCCAGTGACGTGAGTGCTCGGTTGGATAAAGTGATGAGTTGCAGTGAGGTTGTTGCCGCGAGACTGTGAGACACCCCGAGTCAGAGCCCCGCACGAGCCACAACGCACGCACTCAGATGACGAAGGAACCTTCCCGAGGTCACCATGGAAAGAACCGCGGCACAACTCCATCTGCAGATGTGCGAATTCTTCTGATGGAAGGACATGCAGCGACCGCGCTCAGGCCATAGGTTCCGCTACGTAATCTACCGAATTCCTTCACTAACCATTCGCGCAATGGAACGCCCTGAAGGATGCAGAATTCGAGATGTTCGCGCCCTTTTGCGATGAAGGGCGACAAACTGTTTATTTATGTATCCTTGATATATGACTTCCTCTCATGGGTTCATCTTCGGATACGACATCTCACTTTGCTTCCTTCCATCACGTACCTCTTCGTCATCAGTCAGCATGCCGAACGAAGATGCCGAAGTATATGCCCTTATACTTGAGGAGAACCGGAAGTGGATGGAGCAATATCCACTTCACGATAGCGATTGCGAAATCCACACGGCGGCTTACAAAGGCGATGTTGCTCTGGTCACATCTATACTAGAGAACAACACAACCGCCACCACGAACATCGACGCTCGTAACGGGAACGATTGTACCCCTTTACACCTCGCTATACGCGCCGATCACGGATCGGTTGTACAGCTTCTCTTGGAAGCTGGTGCAGATCCTACACTCAAAGACGACATCGAGCCAGCCTACCAAGTTTCGCTGTCTGCACTTGACCTTGCAGCTTGGCTGGGACAATCAAATGCATTAGCCGCGCTCCTCGACCACGATATCAGTATATCGCCATCCGCGCTATTTTTCGCCGCATCCAAGAATCACGTGGACTGCCTTGCCTTGATTCTAGAGAAGCAGGGAACTCGCGACTTCTCTGATATGTCCAGGCTAGAGGCTGTACGGCTAGCCATAGAAAGAGCGGCCTTGTGTTGGCATGTAGAAGCTTTTGAGCTGCTCCTCGACTACTACCATACAAGGTTTTCAGATCCCGTACGCCTCAACGGAAATGGGACAGCCCTAGGAAAAGCTCTTATTTGCGCCCTATACGACTACGACTGTGACGACCGATGCCGACCACCAGCCGTATGCTGCCCTCTAGACAAACCCCTTGCTAGCATTATGGAAAGTCTTGTCAAAGCTGGTGCTGATGTCAATACGCGCGACGATCAAGGTCGACACTCTACAGCTTTTTGGGCTTGCCTGCACATGCCGCACGTGCCGCGAGATGCTATACGATTTCTTCTGAATAACGGGCTGCGCGTTGATCACGTTGCACCTAATGAAACTTCGCCGCTTTGCGGCATCATTCGCGACGCGGACGATGACCCGAGTCTTGTTGAAGATCTCATCAAGGCCGGAGCAAGCGTGTCCGGTACGGACGAGGACGGCTACACCCCATTGCATTTGGTAGCAAATGCCTCATTCGCAAAAGTTCTCATCGCGAACGGCGCGGACGTTTCTGCTAGGGCCCTTCAAGGAGAGACCCCACTTCACACAGCATGTGAGCATGGCAACATATCAATAGTAAAGTTGCTACTTGACAACGGCGCGAATGTTCATGATGTCACTTCGGGAAAGACTGATCGTACCGAGATTGGGTGGACACCACTTCGCTTCGCAGTCGAATTCTTCTCTTACTATTCCAACAGTAATGAAGAACGCCTACAGCTAGTACAACTACTCCATAACCACGGTGAATATCTGCACACCACTGCTGCAGATGGCTCCACAGCGCTGCATGGGGCCGCTCAGTTTGGCAACGAGAAGCTTGTCCGCTATCTGATCGATTCTGGCGCCGATGCATGCGCCAAAACTACGTCTGGCATGACCACCTTACACTACGCAAGTAAATCCACTGAACCAGGAGATGAAGTCAGGATTACATCAATCATCGATGTACTCCTTGAACACGGTGTTGAACTGAACGCACTGAATCAGGAGGGGGAAACCCCATTGCTCATGTCGGTTTCAGAAATTAACCGCCCAGTGGGATTTAGTCCTGCAGTATGCAATCTGCTATTAGAGAAAGGTGCAGAGAGAACCGCAAGGAATGCTGAGGGTAAGACCGCGGTAGACATCGTGAACGACTCACATAGCTGGATCTTCGGAGAGGACGGACTCGTGCGGAACAAACCTCCGCCAGTACACGTAGCGTCTAGTAGGGGCAGGGGCAGAGGCAGGGGTAGAGGAGGGTGGCGATATAGTGAATGAAACCACATACGCCCTCTTGAAGATCGAACTTTACTTCAACATCACCATCAGAAGTCGCACATCATAGTCAATCCAAACAAAATTCAATTGTAGAAGCCGAAAACCATATCCAAATTAATCATACTACCAAGTAATCCAAAGAGCATCTGCTATATGCAGACATCGCTAACAAAAACAAGATATGGGTATATAGATGCCGCCGTTAACAACCAAATAAAGAAAAGGGTATAACCAATAAAGAAAGGGGTATATCCTCGTCAAAGTCGTTAAAGCGTAAAGAATCGTAATCGTAGCCGTGATTACCGGGCCCCCAGGGCCGGATGCCAAGAGTGGAGAGAGAGGAAAAGAGATGCCGACCAACGCCATGAAAACAATAGAGTAGAGAGAAAAGTCAACCAGCGTGAACACCAACACCTGTAAGCAAGAGCGAATAGCAGACCCGCAGTAAACAAAACATGAAAAGGGAGGAACAACAGTTGTACAAAAATAAAACAAACATTGACGAGATGATTCTCTAATCACCTCGTCGCATGAAGCCAAAACGCTTCTTTTTCTTCGCGTCCTTGGCATCTGCCGTGGGCGCATTGGGGTATCCATTCAAAGCAGCCTCAGTGTTGAGGCGTTCGGCTTCCTGGTAATCAAAGGGCATGTTCCAGCGTCTCTCGGGTATCTCTCCCAGTCTCGTGCTGCCGGAAGCAAACGTATAGCTCGATGGTGTGGCTTTGTCCAGGCGGCGGCGGAAGTGGAGGGTTGCTGGAGCCTGGTCGAGGAGTGGTGGAGGGGATAGGTAGGAGGGTTTCTCCGGGACTGGGGGAGGCTTGGAAGAGACTGCGGGTTTGGAGTGAGCAGGAGATGGGGAGCGGCGGGATGTAGGGGTAAAGGTGGGGAGCTTGGGGGTGGGCTCGTTATGGTGCTTTGGGGAGGGCGATTTGGTAGTTGTGTAGGCGTTCTCTTGAGGCCATGGTTCGCGCGGGTCGTCGAAGGAATCAACGCGCTTTTTGACACCACCACTACTGGCCCTTGGTGCTGCGCCACCTAGAGTGCCTCTGATGACACCAGATGTCTCAAGCTCGAATGGGTCGACAGGTACGTACAAGGGTAGCTGTGGAGCCATCTGGATCTTCTTTGGCTGAGGGGATGCCAGCGGTGAAGAGCTGCGAGATGAACTTGACGGCGATTTCACTGAAGAAGATTCCTTACTGGACGAGCTGCCCTTGCGGGTGGTCTTAGGTCGCATGACGACGAGCCGGGGTTCATTCGAGCTTCGGTTCTTCATGGACATGCGTGTGACTACATGGCCCGAGGAACGTTGACGAGTGGAGCTCGACTTCTTCTTGTCCTTCTCAGGGCTAGTGCTGCGAGAGGAGCAGTCGTGGTGTTTGC